TTTATGAAAATAAATACAGTTTCATCTTACCTAAACTCCATATTCAAATTTATCCAGTCTTTCCAAAACTTCTCTTTATCACTGGCTTGTTCAAACCAGAATTCAATTCTGGAACCACATATTCCATCTGGTTAGTATGTCTTTTAAATCTATTTTAATCTTGCACAATCCTATTTTTCCCCACGTCAGTGACTTGGTAGAGAAACCAGACCAGATCATCTGCATAATGTCTCACTTTCTGGATTTGTGTAGTTGTTTCTACATGGTTGTGCGAGACAAAGAACTCAATTTGGAAAAAGAAAAACCTTTTTCTCTGGTTTTTGAAAATAATCCTTGGATTTTGCCTGTAAGCAAGGTGCCTTTGTTTTTTCCAAAATAGCTGGGCAACACTTGAACATTTGTTAATGCAGTGGGAACCTCCCTATGCACGCACACACATACACCAAGAACACCACAACTGACAAATAATTTCTGGAAAGAGGGGGCATGATACAATCAATTGTGTCTATTCATTGATTCCATTGATCATCTACATGAAACAAGACCCCTATGACTTTTATAAAAGACCCTGAATATGAAAATTATTGGGATCCCTGGATAAGTGAGAGGTGAGGCATATCCTGAAGGACAATAGAAGTCTTGCTCACTCCCAGAGTGAGACCTGTGCACCTCTTCTCTTGTATTCCTTTGTACTTATATTAAAGTTGTTATATGTATAGACGATGCTCTGTGAATTCTATGAGTCATTCTAGTGAATTATTAAACTCACTGGGAATAGTGAGAACCAACAGAAACTGACAACTACCTATTTGGTAGACTGAAGGACAGAGCTCTGACTTGCGTGTTTTGATCTGACGCAGGGTTGCAAGGTATGAGTTCTGACCTAGCTTTGAGTAGAGGTCAGAAAGAGGAAGTGCCATGTGGGTAGCTGGTGTCAGGCAGAGATGAAGAAGTAGGAAAGTGAAGATATGAGTTATCTTTGACCTAAAACCCAAAAAACTCACTGCTGTCATGTTATTGGTGTTAGTAGCAGTCAAGTTGGTTCTGCCTCATGGAAACCCCATGTAATGATGTTACCACCAGATTTGGGTGATAAGAAGGGTCTGATCCTTCCATTATTACAGTTCTATGTTTTTCTTAAAACTATAAGATAATCAGTGTGGTATTATTTTGGCACTATACAGATGTTCAGTTATCCTACCAACAACACATCTACTGCTTTTAGTACCAGATGACCATCCTTGCCTGCATTAATATTTCCAGTAAGGGATGCAGAATGATGATTTTCTAGTTTTACCATTCCTTCAATTGAACAGAATGAATTCTCACATTCTTCTGTGAAGAAAAGCTTTCTTTATCAACTAGGGCTATTTGGTTACAGTGAAATAAAATTACTACTGGAAAGGCAAGATAAAGGCATAATTTTTTTTCCACTTAGTTACACATTTGCAAAGCAAGGAGTGGTTTATAGCCAATTCAAATTGTATAGGCCCATTCTTCTCCTTTGCACACTGCCTTCCAGGGCATCATAATTTTACCCTTACCTCTTTTTTCTTCTAGTCATTTCTTCTAAACAAGACATGGTACCTGTCACTCCACATTCCATATTTTCCCACTTCCATGTCTTTATTCTTGCTATTCTTTCTACCTAGAACATTTCCACCCATCCCCTTCCCTTCGTTCACCTACCAAGATCCAGCTTGTTCTTTTTTTTTTAATTGTGATTTGCATGAAAATTTGAAAGTTTACAGAGCAAATTCACTTTCCATACAGCAGTTCACATACACTTTATCTCATGACATTGACTACAATTTATCCCAATGCAACAGCTCCCCTCCCACTTCCTCTAGATAGTTACCTCTCCCTTGTGTCCATCCCTCCATGCGCTCCTGCCCCCTGAGCTATCTTCCTGTGCATAAACAACCTTTTTTTCTCCCATGATTATTCTCTCCAAGGAGTGTATCTACCTCAGGTAAATGTTCAACTCATATGCCTGTCTTTTGTTTGGCCAGAACCCACAGGTGTGGGTTCAATTCCAGACCTGAAGGGCAGCTAGGGGCCATAGTCTCAGTGGTTCCACCAGATCCAGCCTGTTCTTGAAGGCAGCCTGCTCCATGAAGCTTTTGCTAATTCCCCACTGATATCTCCTTACCTCCAACCAGAAGTGACGTTTCTTTCCTTTAAATTTTTATTACATTTTGTTTATGAATATTTTGAAATTGCTTTGTCTATAATTATTTGAAGGTTGTTGTTGTTGTTAGGTGCCATAGAGCCATCTCCTACTCATAGCGACCTAGGAACAGCAGAAAGAAACCCCCACCCCCACCCATGGGTCCTGCACCAGCTCCATGATCCCTACTATACTTGAGCCAATCTCAGCAACCACTGTGTCAATCCATCTGGTTGAGGGCCTTCCCCTCTTTCGTGGACCCTCCACCTTACCAAGCATGACATCCTTCTCCAGGGAATGGTCCTTTCTGATAACATGACAAAGTAGGTGAGACGAAGTCTAGCCATTCTCAATTCCAAGGATCATTCTGGCTGCACTTCCTCTAGGACAGATTTGTTAGTTCTTTTAGCAGTTCATAGTACTTTCAGCATTCTTCGCCAGCACCACAACTCAAATGCATCAGTTCTTCTTCAGTCTTCCTTATTCATTGTCCAGCTCTCACATGCATAGGAGGCAATTGAAAATATCATGGCTTAGGTCAGGCGCACCTTAGTCCTCAAGGAGACATCTTTGCTCTTCAGCACTTGAAAGAGGTCCTTTGCAGCTGACTTGCCCAGTGCTACACATGGTCTGATGTGCTGACTGCTGCTTCCATCGGTGTCAATTGTAGAACCAAGCAGCCTGAAGTCTTTGACAATTTCAATCTTTTCTCCATTTATCGAGATGCTGCTTATAGGTCCAGTTGTGAGGATTTTTGTTTTCTTTATATTGAAATGTAATCCATACTGCAGACTGTATTCTTCAGTAAGTGCTTCAAGTCATCCTCACTTTCAGCAAAGTTGTGCTGTCAGTGTATTGCAGGTTGTTAATGATTATTTTGCCATGTTCCTCCTCATATAGTCCAATTTCTCAGATTATTTGCTCAGCATATAGATTGAATAAGTATGGGGAAAGGACACAACCCTGATGCACTCTCTTCTTGACTCTAAACCATGCAGTGTCACCTTGTTCTGTTCCAATGACAGCCTCCTGGTCAATGTACAGGTTCCTCATGAGTACAATCAAGTGTTCTGGAATTCCCATTCTTCTCAATGTTATCCACAATTTGTTATGATCCACACAATCAAATATTTTTGCATAGTCAATAAAACACAAGTAAACATCTTTCTGGAATTCTTTGCTTTCAGCCAAGATCCATCTGACAGCAGCAATGATATCTCTTGTTCCACGTCCTCTTCTGAATCCGGCTTGCACATCTGGAAGTTCTCTGTCAATATACTGCTGCAATTGTTTTTGAATTATCTTCAGTAAGATAATTATTTGAATATCTACCTTAATTTCCTTGTTGTTGTTGTTGTTGTTGTTATGTGCCGTCGAGTCGGCCCCGACTCATAGCGACCCCTCCTTGGGTTTCCGAGGCAGTATCACTACGGAAGTAGGATTGCCCAACCTTCCTTCCGAGGAGTGGCTGGTGGGTTTGAACCACCAGCCTTCTGGTTAGCAGTCAAGTGCTTTAGCCACTATGCTACCAGAGCTCCTTAATTTCCTTAGACTTGAGAAATCATTGTAATTTTCCTGGAACCTAGATTTCTGGATCTATGGAGTTGGAATGACCCACTCAGGCCATCTGCCCTTAGGTGTCCTTTTGAAACTTGAGACTTTGAAAAACTGCTTTCCTAGCGCGCGCTCGCCAGTTCGCGTGCGCGGCCCAGGTGGTGGCCTACGGCTCCGGCTCCAGGTGGCTACCGGTAGAGGGCCGTCGCGAGGGGTCAAGAGTCCGCGCTTCCCGACAGAGCGGCGCTCACCACGGCCTGAGCCGCATGGGGTCCACCGCACCCGAGAAGATAGAGCGCCGTCCTCGAGCCCCCAGCGTGGCCCGAAACCCCTCGTTGGTCGGCCCTCGCTGACTGCTCGGATTTGGCGTTTTATCCAATCCCTAGGCCTCGTCTCCTAAGTCAGTGGTGGTGTGGTTGGAAAGAGATGGAAGAAAAGGAGCGATGTGACCCACTCCGTTCAGTTCGCTTGCATTGAGGCCTGTCTGGTGTTTGCAGAGAGGAAAAAAAACACAGCAAGGAAATCGTGGTTTTTGGAGGGGGTGGGAAGGGAGGGTGAGAGAAGAGAAACCAAGTCCTAGATTTTATATGATTTTTTCAAACTCCGCGTTTTGGCAGTGGAAGTGAAATAAACCAATCCAAGAGTTATTTTTCTATTGAGAAGAGAGAAGTGGATTTTTTTTTTTTTCCTTTGGATTCCAACCTTTTCTCCCAGTGACAAAGCATAAATCATGGACACCAGAGAATAAGGTGGGCCTCAGGAGCCCTGAAAAGACTCAGAGGATTACCTTCTTCCTCAGGAGGGAAGGGCGGGGTGTTTTTAGTCCTGTCTGGAACCTAAAACGAAAAACATGAGTTGTGTGCCGTGGAAAGGAGACAAGGCCAAATCGGAATCATTGGAGCTGCCCCAGGCAGCACCCCCACAGATCTACCATGAGAAACAGCGCAGGGAGCTTTGCGCCCTGCATGCCCTCAACAACGTCTTGCAGGACAGCAATGCCTTCACCCGGGACACGCTGCAAGATATTTTCCAGAGGTTGTCTCCAAATACCATGGTGACACCCCACAAGAAGGGCATGCTGGGAAATGGGAACTACGATGTGAACGTCATCATGGCAGCCCTTCAAACCAAAGGCTACGAAGCTGTTTGGTGGGACAAGCGCAGGGATGTCAGTGTCATTGCTCTCACTAATGTCATGGGCTTCATCATGAATCTGCCCTCCAGCCTGTGCTGGGGTCCATTGAAGTTGCCTCTCAAAAGGCAGCACTGGATCTGCATTCGAGAGGTGGGAGGTGCCTACTACAACCTCGACTCCAAACTCAAGATGCCGGAGTGGATTGGAGGCGAGAGCGAACTCAGGAAATTTCTAAAACATCATTTGCGAGGAAAGAACTGTGAACTCCTGCTGGTGGTACCGGAAGAGGCCCATCAGAGTTGGAGGGCTGACGTGTAACGCGATTCTGCCCTACCTTCCCTCACCTCAGCCCCTTAAGCCTCCGGGGTGTGCTGTGGCCTACACAGTGGGTCTGCCCTTGCCAGTTCCCCAAATATCTCGTCAGGTTCCCCTCCTCAGATCTGACAGTGCAATAGGAAAGATGTGTGGACTGTTAGAATAACCACCACCAGCGTTACTTGTTCCTGGGAGAGGAATGTGGGCGCTCTGTGTGCTTAGGGCAAGCCATCAACGATCCTTGGTTTTAAGAGGCAGGAGGACAAAGGAGGATGGGGTCTAGTTTTTTTTCTCCTTTCCTGTGAGGACTTGACAGGGGCTCTGCTGGAGTTAACCAGTCACTGCTGCTCCAGACTCACCTGGAGATGCTGCCTCCATCTCACCTTTCCTGGCAAATCAGTGGGTTTGAGGACACAGTACATGTGAAGCCCATGTGACTGGCTGGAAGGACCTAGAACATTGAGGTCTCTCAGGAAACCTCTAAAGCCCTAGAAGCAGGATAGCATTCTATCTCCAACTCTTAATGCCACCCCTTTTTTTTATGGGCAACCACATGTTTAAGGGTGGTTTCTGCCATCCTTGGAGTTTTATAATGAAACTTTCCCTAATATTCTTAACTGCGTGGCTGAATTCTGCAATACTCTAGCATGACAGAGGTGAGATCAGTACCTAAGAGGACAATGACTGAAGCCAAACGTTTGTGGGGCAGGCATGGGGCGGCTTGATCTCAGCTCTCACTCTGGTTTGTCCCTACCATTTCACTACATTGATTACAAGGCTCTGGGGCAGAAGACAAGGCAAAGGGCAGTTTTTCCAGTTAACTCACTCTGGCAAAATCAGAAAAAAAAAAAAAAAAAAAAATCTGCCTTTGAGAGTGCATTCTTCTTTGTTGGAGCAGAGTCGGATGAGGAAAGCACTGTGAAGCTAAGCTGCTCAGAGTTTTAAGAGCAGACAGAATCAAAAGTCCTAGGCTTGGGGACTTGGGGTCGCTATAGTGATAAGGAGCAGAGCGCTCAAGTTGGGTGGTTATGGTTATTGTGTTATTGTGTTCTAGGACTTGGGTTTGTCATCTTTGTGGAGTTTCCTTTACAAATAAGAGAATTGACCCACCCCTTACCTCTTTAAATAGTTGTAGGCCACTTTTCCTGTAACTTTGGAAAACAAGAGGAGGGGAAAATATCTCAACACACCCTCATGGGGTTGCCTCAGGCAGAAGGGCAGGCAGGGAGGACCTGCCTAGTCCTCAGATCAATGGTCTTGCCAGGTCTGTGAGCTGCCCCACTGGCCAGACTTCTCATCAGTAACAGAGCCAGCCTGGGGCTTGCATGTCTATCCTGAGCAAGCTTCACCGGACGAAGCTGAGGCTTTCTTCCCACTGTGACTGGAGTGCGTGTTCACACCAGCACTTTTTCTGCACATGTATCTTCAATCCAACAAGACCGTTTTTTATGCTGAGTAACAGAAGCCACCAAGTGGCTACTGCATTATGCCCTCCCAGCAACCAGCCAGTCTCTTCTGTACCATTTTCTACACTAGACCTACTTGGCACCACAGGGGACTCTATCCCTACCCAGTGACATTCCAACCAGCACCAGCCAGCAGTCACAGCCATCCTTGCTGATTGTCACAAGCAGGGCCTTGGGGTCCACTGGCACTGGCCATGATAGTAAGCCATGTCCGGGTCCCTTGGCACTGTCCTTGATAGTAAGCCATAACCGGGTCCACTGGCACTGTCTATGATAGTAAGCCATGTCCAGGTCCCTTGGCACTGTCCTTGATAGTAAGCCATATTCGGGTCCACTGGCACTGTCCGTGATAATAAGCCATGTCTGTGTCCACTGGTGCTGTCCGTGATAGTAAGCCATTTCCTGGAAAGAGAAGGAAACTCCTTTTCACAGATCTGCTTGGGCCTTGTAAATGACATGTCAAAGGAGTCCCATGCAGTTGGAGTCCATGAGCCAATGGGCTATGCAAAGACATGTAAACATTTCAGGGCTGGTTTCTGTTCATATCCTATTCTGGTGCTTAAAAACAGGGACCCATGCTGATGCCCAAGGGTAAAAAGCCCCACGTCCTTTAAGGAAGGGAGCAGGCCTGACCCTGATGCCCAGAAAGGGGCAACTCTAGGCTTTTTGTTTTTCTTGCTTTTATTCCTTTTTTGTTGTTGGCCTTGTGCTGGGTTTGTTTACAAAAGATGTATTTTGTTTAACCAAACATTAAAAATGGAAAACTCCATACATTAAAAAAAAAAAAAAAAAAAAAACCGCTTTCCTAAAGCCACTTTCAAATCAAACATTAACCTAGTAAGCAGCGTTAGGCATTGGGATCTTTTAGAAAATTATCTATGTGCTGCCAGTTTTCAAGAGCAGGAACCCCAAGATTTGACTAGAAAATGTATGGCATGTGGTTAATACCTTTGTTTCTACAACCCACTGACCCTGGAAATATGCATGTATTCTGATGCTATCTCCTGAGAAATTAACATGACAATGACTTAATCTAACCCATTTTCACTATCCCCTCTTCCAAGTATTGTTCCTGATATTTTCCAAGCAGTGAAATTCAAATAATAATTACTCAAAATAAATATATTCTGTTACACTAAGTTTTACTGCTTCTTTATGCGTTTAACTTTTTGACATGTATTTATAAAAGAGCAGGCATAGGAATTAACATTTATTAAATGTTATGTAAGTGCCAAGTGTTTTGCACATATTACATAACTAAATTCCCATAATATTGAATCTCGGTGGCAGGACTTATCATTTCAGGTTTACAAATGAGGAAGTTAGGGTTTCAAAAGAATAAATAAGTTACCTAAATTTACACAACAAATACATGAAGGAGCTGAGATTCAAGCCCAGATCAGACTTGAAATCATGCTTTTCTTTCCACCATATCTTTATTTTTTTTTCTTTTTTTCTGGTGGTGGTGGTTCTCTATATTCTTCACAATATTGATCCTAGAACCACTTACCTAACAAGAATTCAGTAAATGAACAAGGAATGAATGAAAAATTCTTCTGATGATAATAACTACCTACAAAACAACAGAAGTCCCTGGGTAATCTGGGTGAAACAGCTAACAAACTTTCTGCTAACAGTACAGTTGGTGGTTCAAGTCTACCCAGAGGTTCCTAGGAAGGAAGAAGTAGTTATCTGTTTGAAAAAAATCAGAGCCACTTAAAACTCTGTGAAGCACAGTTTTACTCTGACGAACGTAAGTTTCCATGAGTTGGAATCAACTCCAAGGCAACTGCCTTTGTTTGGTATTATGAGGCAGTAAATGGTATACAAGAAAACATACAGCCCAACTGTTACCCAAAACCAATAAAAGAAATTAAAAGCTTTAATTACCTATGTGTTGAATATAAAGCAAAAGTGTGGCTTCTACATTCCAATTAATATCTTTACCCTTCAAAACCACCACTCGTCTGTCAATTGGTCATACTGTTGTGGCTTGCATGTTGCTATGATGCTGAAAGCTGTGTCACTGGTATTTAAAGTACCAGCAAGGTCACCCGTGGTAGAGAGGTTTCATCAGAGCTTCCAGACTAACACAGACTAGGAAGAATGAATTGATGATTTACTTCTGAAAAAACTGGCTAGTGAAAACCTAATGAATCACAGCAGAACAGTGATATAGTGCCAGAAGAGGAGCCTGCAAGGTTGGAAGGTGCTCAAAATACAACTGGGGAAAAACTGCCTCCTCAAAGTAGAGTTGACCTTAATGACTTACATGGAGTAAAGCTATAGGGACCTCCATATGCTGATGTGGCACGATTCAAAATGAGAAGAAACAGCTGCAAACAATTATTAATAATCAGAACATGGAATGTATGAAGTATGAATCCAGGAAACTTGGAAGTTGTCAAAAATGAAATGGAAGGCATACAAATCAATATCCTAGGCATTAGTGAGCTGAAACAGACTGGTACTGACCACTTAAAATCAGACAAACATATAGTCTATTATACTGGAAATGACAAATTGAAGAGAAAAGGCATCACATTCATTGTCAAAAAGATCATTTCAAGATCTATTCTGAAGAAAAGTACTATCAGTGACAGAATATTATTCATCCTCTACAAGAAAACTAGTTAATAAGATTATTATCCAAATTTACATACCAACCACTAAGGCCAAAGATGAAGAAATTAAAGATATTTACCAATTCCTATAGTCTGAAATTGATCGTACATGCAATGCAAAAATTGGAAACAAAGAAGGATCAGTAGTTGGAAAATGTGGTCTTGGTAATAGAACAAACACTGGAGATCACATGATAGAATTCTTTAAGTTGAATAAATTATTCATTCTAAGTATCCTTTTTCAAAATATAAATGGTGATTACACATATTGGACCTTGTTGGAAGGAATACACAGGTATCAAATTGACTACACCTGTGGAAAGAGATGATGGAGAAGCTCAATATCATCAGTCACAACAAAGCCAGGGCCAACTGCAGAGGAGACTATCAATTATTCAGTTCAAGTTGAAGCTGAAGAAAATTAAAATAAGTCCATGAAAGGCAAAGTACGACCTTGAGTATATCCCAACTCAATTTAGAGACCATGTCAATAATACATTTTAAGCGTCAAACATTAGTGACCAAAGACTAGACAAGTTGTGAGATGATATCAAGAATATCTACAAGGTGTATGAAATGAAAAGACCAAAGTAAATGAAAGAAAGAAAACATTAAAACTATATATCAGGAGTTCCAGCAAGATTGTGGACTGGGCAGAAAGACTGCACAGACCCTCTTCAACAAAGAAAAGGGAAACCAATTAACACAGACACAGAAGATAATCTTGGACCCCTGAGCCTTGAAGGGAAGGATATAGAAGTGGACTAAACCCCAGCTAGCAAAAGAATTTCCAAAAAAGGAGACATACGGAGCTGCAGTCTGGCAGTGATCCTGAGTGATCCTGATGGCACAAATAGCTTGGAGATTCCTGAGTGGTGGTAGAACCTAAGAATTAACCTGAAAATTACCCTGCTAGCCAGGGACTGCATGGAGGACTGTGCACGGTGGCTGGGGAACAAACGGAGAAAGTGAAGAGAAAGTGGGCTGAGCTGTGGACTTTCGCCTGTCCGGAGACAGCTGCCATTCTGAAGGTTTAAAAAGTGGCTTGCAAATTTAAAGAGATAGCGCTCTAGCAAACTCCTGGGGCTTAAGAACACGTTCTGCTTTCCAACAAGCCCAAGGACACTCAGGACATGCAAGACTGACAAGGTACAACATTCCTCTTGTTACTCTTATACCCCACACCCATTTGGTGAACAGAGGTGCAGCCATCCCCCACTACCACCTACCTTCTGGGCCCACAGGAATTCCATTACAGTCTGTGTGCTCAGACAGAGCCTGGGTGCCCTGCCCTGTCCTCCAATGATTTTTT